GTCCATACGAGGCAGCTCCTATTGGTCCATACGAGGCAGCTGCTATTGGTCCATACGAGGCAGCCCCTATTGGTCCATACGAGGCAGCTCCTATTGGTCCATACGAGGCAGCTCCTATTGGTCCATACGAGACAGCTTCTATTGGTCCATACGAGACAGCTCCTATTGGTCCATACGAGGCAGCTCCTATTGGTCCATACGAGGCAGCTCCTATTGGTCCATACGAGGCAGCTCCTATTGGTCCATATGAGGCAGCTCCTATTGGTCCATACGAGACAGCTCCTATTGGTCCATACGAGACAGCTGCTATTGGTCCATACGAGGCAGCTGCTATTGGTCCATACCAGGCAGCTGCTATTGGTCCATACGAGGCAGCTGCTATTGGTCCATACGAGGCAGCTGCTATTGGTCCATACGAGGCAGCTCCTATTGGTCCATACGAGGCAGCTCCTATTGGTTCATACGAGGCAGCTGCTATTGGTCCATACGAGGCAGCTCCTATTGGTCCATACGAGACAGCTGCTATTGGTCCATACGAGGCAGCTGCTATTGGTCCATACGAGGCAGCTGCTATTGGTCCATACGAGGCAGCTCCTATTGGTCCATACGAGGCAGCTCCTATTGGTCCATACGAGGCAGCTCCTATTGGTTCATACGAGGCAGCTGCTATTGGTCCATACGAGGCAGCTCCTATTGGTCCATACGAGACAGCTGCTATTGGTCCATACGAGGCAGCTGCTATTGGTCCATACGAGGCAGCTCCTATTGGTCCATACGAGGCAGCTCCTATTGGTCCATACGAGGCAGCTGCTATTGGTCCATACGAGGCAGCTCCTATTGGTCCATACGAGGCAGCTGCTATTGGTCCATACGAGGCAGCCCCTATTGGTCCATACGAGGCAGCTGCTATTGGTCCATACGAGGCAGCTGCTATTGGTCCATACGAGGCAGCTGCTATTGGTCCATACGAGGCAGCTGCTATTGGTCCATACGAGGCAGGTCCTATTGATTTGAGTACCAAATGTACTCAAGCTCATTCGTATGCATATATAACTTAGGCTCTTAACAATACATATATACCTCCCACTGACAATTTTCACAGCCTACAAGAGCCTATTGTCCCGAGTGACAGGTGGGCGGCGGCTGGTCAAAACCACGCTATCTTGGCCACCTTATATAACCAGGATCTTTATTTGCATATATCTAATTTGCATACGCATTCCTGGGGCTTACGATCGTCAGGTGTAGGTCGTTATAACCGATCTCCGCTATATATGGGTTCAGATTTCTTTGTTTTATGTTAATATTGCTTTGTTTTGTTTGTTATATAAAAAAATTCATGTGGTTTTAGTTTTTAATTATTTTTATTTTTTTTTAGTTAGTTGCTTTTAATTAAGCGTTAATATTTTTGTTTTATTAATTGAATTTTAATTGTAATTTGTTTGTTGTTTTTTATTGTTTTGATAATTCATGCAGGAAATGGTGCTTGTGTTTGTTTGTTTGTTTGTTCGTGTTGCTGTGTGTTTTTGTGTGCGTGAGTTTGTGTATTGTGTTTAGGAGGGGGGGGGGGGGGGGTTCCCTGTATGTGTGTGTGTGTGTGTGTGTGTGTGTGTGTGTGTGTGTGTGTGTGTGTGTGTGTGTGTGTGTGTGTGTGTGTGTGTGTGTGTGTGTGTGTGTGTGTGTGTGTGTGTACATTACTCACCTAAACGTACTCATGTACTCACCTAGATGTGGTTGCAGGGTCGAGCTCAAGCTCCCGGCTCCTCTTCCTTCCACACATATTAAGCCTAATACAACATCTATATATATGTACATAAGTACATATATATATGTACATAAGTACATATAAACACCATTTACATGGAGTTCCAGCGACATCTATATGTGAGCCAGTGGCATTGAAAGACTGGAGTAATCACCTACTAAAATGTGTATTCAAGCAACCTATTGTATATTGTATTTGAATTAATAAATCAATACATTCCCTCCTTTGTTGCATCTCCAGTTTGGGAAGTTCCAGTTCTGTCTTTCCTCGTAGCTCAAGCCCTTCAGCTCAGGAATAAGCCTTGGCATTATATTATTAAACTCTTATAAGTTTGCCATGCACGGCTTCCCTCAGCTAAATCCGTACTGGTGCATTGCAACAACACTGACGGTGCAAGGGTTCAACTAGCCTCTATGGTTCTCTTGTTCCAAGGGTTCAACTAGCCTCTATGGTTCTCTTGTTCCAAGGGTTCAACTAGCCTCTTTGGTTCTCTAGTTCCAAGGGTTCAACTAGCCTCTATGGTTCTCTTGTTCCAAGGGTTCAACTAGCCTCTATGGTTCTCTTGTTCCAAGGGTTCAACTAGCCTCTATGGTTCTCTAGTTCCAAGGGTTCAACTTGCCTCTATGGTTCTCTAGTTCCAAGGGTTCAACTAGCCTCTATGGTTCTCTTGTTCCAAGGGTTCAACTAGCCTCTTTGGTTCTCTAGTTCCAAGGGTTCAACTAGCCTCTATGGTTCTCTTGTTCCAAGGGTTCAACTAGCCTCTATGGTTCTCTAGTTCCAAGGGTTCAACTAGCCTCTATGGTTCTCTTGTTCCAAGGGTTCAACTAGCCTCTATGGTTCTCTAGTTCCAAGGGTTCAACTAGCCTCTATGGTTCTCTTGTTCCAAGGGTTCAACTAGCCTCTATGGTTCTCTAGTTCCAAGGGTTCAACTAGCCTCTATGGTTCTCTTGTTCCAAGGGTTCAACTAGCCTCTATGGTTCTCTTGTTCCAAGGGTTCAACTAGCCTCTATGGTTCTCTAGTTCCAAGGGCTCAACTAGCCTCTATGGTTCTCTAGTTCCAAGGGTTCAACTAGCCTCTATGGTTCTCTTGTTCCAAGGGTTCAACTAGCCTCTATGGTTCTCTTGTTCCAAGGGTTTAACTAGCCTCTATGGTTCTCTTGTTCCAAGGGTTCAACTAGCCTTTATAGTTCATGTCTTCCACCTTTATTGTAAGCTGGAACAACTTAATTGAGCCCTTTTTTCAACTGTCTGGATATCCATGGAGGAATTGGGTGCTATTTGAAGGGGGATTACACAGTGCTTGCGCTGCCTCCTTCAGTAACCAGGGTGATATCGCGTCTGGGTTTATGGTGTGGATCGTTTTGTTCCGGCAATTCTTTCCCTCGCTTCTCTTTGGTGTAACTGCCTTTACAGTGAACTCAGAGAGGGAGAGAGAGAGAGAGAGAGAGAGAGAGAGAGAGAGAGAGAGAGAGAGAGAGAGAGAGAGAGAGAGAGAGAGAGAGAGAGAGAGAGAGAGAGAGAGAGAGAGAGAGAGAGAGAGAGAGAGAGAGAGAGAGAGAGAGAGAGAGAGAGAGAGAGAGAGAGAGAGAGAGAGAGAGAGAGAGAGAGAGAGAGAGAGAGAGAGAGAGAGAGAGAGAGAGAGAGAGAGAGAGAGGGAGGGAGAGAGAGAGAGAGGGAGGGGTGGGGGGTAAGGGTCTCTACTCTTTCAAAATCCCTTTGTTCTATCAACAGATCAGCTTCCAGCCTAAAATCTTCCTGGCAGCTTGTGTATCGTGCTTCGCATATTTCCTAATCGTTTTCTGTGTGACATTTGCCTATTCAGTGGCCTGATAATCTAGTCTTTTGTAGACATCTTCCTCCTAAAGAAGTGACAGCAAGCATCCTACTCGGGGAGTGTCCTACACTCTGTGTGTCTCGTGTGCTCACCTAGTTGTGCTTGCGGGGGTTGTCCTACACCCTGTGTGTGTCAGGCCCTACACCCTGTGTGTGTCAGGGCCTACACCCTGTGTGTGTCAGGCCCTACACCCTGTGTGTATCAGGCCCTACACCCTGTGTGTGTCAGGGCCTACACCCTGTGTGTGTCAGGGCCTACACCCTGTGTGTGTCAGGGCCTACACCCTGTATGTGTCAGGGCCTACACCCTGTGTGTGTCAGGCCCTACACCCTGTGTGTGTCAGGCCCTACACCCTGTATGTGTCAGGGCCTACACCCTGTGTGTGTTAGGGCCTACACCCTGTGTGTGTCAGGGCCTACACCCTGTGTGTGTCAGGCCCTACACCCTGTGTGTGTTAGGGCCTACACCCTGTGTGTGTCAGGGCCTACACCCTGTGTGTGTCAGGCCCTACACCCTGTGTGTGTCAGGCCCTACACCCTGTGTGTGTCAGGCCCTACACCCTGTGTGTGTCAGGCCCTACACCCTGTGTGTGTCAGGCCCTACACCCTGTGTGTGTTAGGGCCTACACCCTGTGTGTGTCAGGGCCTACACCCTGTGTGTGTCAGGCCCTACACCCTGTGTGTGTCAGGCCCTACACCCTGTGTGTGTCAGGCCCTACACCCTCTGTGTGTCAGGCCCTACACCCTGTGTGTGTCAGGCCCTACACCCTGTGTGTGTCAGGCCCTACACCCTGTGTGTGTCAGGCCCTACACCCTGTGTGTGTTAGGGCCTACACCCTGTGTGTGTCAGGCCCTACACCCTGTGTGTGTCAGGCCCTACACCCTGTGTGTGTCAGGCCCTACACCCTGTATGTGTCAGGCCCTACACCCTGTGTGTGTCAGGCCCTACACCCTGTATGTGTCAGGGCCTACACTTCTTTGTCTTACCTCTGAGAAACTGTTTTCACTCTTCATAGCCAATTATCATTATCACATGACTGTCTGCTGTCAGGAGTTCAATGTTTATTCGCTATATGTTTATTTCTGGGTGATTCTCAGGTCCAACCTCGTCAGGAAATCTTACTTTCTCCTGTGTTTGTCTCTCCTGAACGTTACGTCAGGGAGTTTATCTCCTGACGGAGCGGTTCCCCTTTTTCCCAGTCAATTCTTCATAGTTGAAATCCTCCATGACTAGGAACTTTACTTCCAAAATGTGAATTATTGTTGATGCCTCTTGGATAATGTCATGATAAGTGTATTTGTGTTTGTTTATGTTATTATCAGTCTACATCTCTCCTTCCCACTATGTTTTATCTCTGTATCTACCTTTCCTATCTATAGGATCTCCTCCCGCAGTACTCACCAACATCCTTGACGGAGGCTTTACACACGAATGGCCGCTTTTGGAGGCAGTCGGTGGGGTGATAGTAGTAGAACCCGCTGTCGTAGGTGCTGCTGGAGCCTTCCGTCAGAGGGTAGGACTTCTTCAGCACCAAGCAGGATGATGCGGAGGATGCTGACGACGTAGAGGAGCCCGTAGGAGCTGTAGAGAAGGTCCTCCTTCCGGTGGCGTTCCATCCTGTAGGAGAGAGAAGAGGAAGAGAAGGATGATAAGATCAATTGAAGAGGTAGAGAAGTGATTGTTTTTTCAGTCTTGTAGGCCATGTTAAGAGGTTCACGCCGCCCACGCCGCCCACCTGGCCACCACTTGGAGTGCTGGAGACCGTGATGAGAGGCGCCCCACGCCCACACCCTCAGGCCGCCCACAGTCACGCCCACACCGTCGGTGTAGAAGTCATTGTCGTCCACAGTAGCACCGAGCAGCTCCGAGATGTACTCATGTTCCGCCTGTGAAGGAGAGTGGAAGATAAACATCTGTGCCAGAGATTGAGTTCATGAGTAAAATAAACTTTATATACATATGTGTATATATATATAATACATATATATATATATATATATATATATATATATATATATATATATATATATATATATATATATATATATATATATATATATATATATGTATATATGTCGTACCTAGTAGCCAGAACGCACTTCTCAGCCTACTATGCAAGGCCCGATTTGCCTAAAAAGCCAAGTTTTCATGAATTAATTGTTTTTTTCAACTACCTAACCTACCTAGCCTAACCTAACCTAACTTTTTCGGCTACCTAACCTAACCTAACCTATAAAGATGGGTTAGGTTAGGTTAGGTAGGGTTGGTTAGGTTCGGTCATATATCTTTTTTAACTCCAATAAAAAAAAAATTGACCTCATACATAATGAAATGGGTAGCTTTATCATTTCATAAGAAAAAAATTAGAGAAAATATATTAATTCAGTAAAACTTGGCTTATTAGGCAAATCGGGCCTCGCATAGTAGGCTGAGAAGTGAGTTCTGGCTACTAGGTACGACATATATATAAATATGTATATATATATAAATACATATATGACTTTATAGTACAACAATCAGTAGACCAAGAGCTACAGCACAACCGTCACTGAGGGTCCTCAATAACGCGGAAGTCGAGAGTCACTTTTCAGGTGTTTATCATTTAAATATTTACACTTGCGCGCCAGTGAGTGTGTCTCCGAGTGTGTCCATAAGTGAGTGTTTGTTGAAGCATTTTGTTCCATGTGGTCAAGGTTATCATTTAGGTTCTTGAGGTCCTCCAGCATATTATACTCGCGTCGAGAGAAGTTACTCGAAGAAACGAGTTACCACGCGGGTAACACACAGTAACCACAGCGGAGTCATTATGCTGTAACAATGTTGTGGTTATACAGTTTTGCAGTGTTGTAATACTGCCAGTGTGAAGTCTCTCATGGTGACTCTTTGTTTCCTGTTGGTTAGGTACTCCCTCATACTCCCTTCACCTTACCACTCGCTATTATGTCTCCCCAACTTGTACACTAGTCCAAACAGCCCCACTTCTGTGCCAAGCAAGTCCATTAGGGGCTCACCATAGCCTGTGCTACTTGGGACTTTTTGTTGCGAGTAGCTGAATCTAAAACAACAATACACTATAGTCTCAGGTGGGGTACTGGATCGAGGCCTCTCTGGCAGTCCGAGAATAAGGAATCTGACCACTCATCTCCTTCTGGCTTGATCTGTTGCCTGGACCTGCTTACCGAGTAAGATTTCCCATCTCTGGATCATGTGGCATTGCATTATGAGAGTTTTTTCTTAATGATTTCGTATAGATTCTCAGTGTTTTCATCAGTTTGCTTTGCACAAATGTAGTTTAACCCTTACACTGCTGCTAGAAACGCTATGCATGTTATAGTGGCTTCGCAAGAAAGTACCACTTAATATGATACTTATAAAAAGGTACAAGTGGTTGTAAAAGTAAGTAAATAATTAAATACACATTTAAAAGTATCACATCAAAACGCACAAGATTAATAATTGCAACAATTCAACTTGGAAAAGTTGCATAAAGCTGTTGCAGTAGTATTAATGCCACTTGTACCACCCCAGGGCACCAAACCATCACTCAGGGGCACAGAAATATATCCCCCATATAAGGCTACATGGACCAACCTACCTGTGAGTCGATGGTCAGGAGCTGAGCCCCTCTTTCGCGGCACATGGCACTAGCCGAGTCTTTAGTGGCCCTGTAGTTGTCGAGGACCATGAAGCAGTTGTCACGCCACCTCTCCCATGGCGCTCCTCCCCCTCCTGCAGGCTGGGAGGGACACCGGTGGGTTGGAGCCCGTGTACATCTGTGGAATGGATGGAGGAGCAAGAGATGATTAATTAATTATGTAATTATACTAGCATTAATAATATAGTGTAATTATACTAGCAATAATAACAGAGCAATAATATATATAATTATACTGTAAATATTAAACATACATAAATGGAAACAAACACACACACACAGTAGTTTCAAAGCGTTATACGACAAAGAGTACTGGGAAGACGGGACACCACGAGCATGAGTAGCTCTCATCCTGTAACTACACTTAGGTAATTACACACATAAACATACACACTAGACATAGAGAACGTGAACTTGGTAGTGCCCTTGGACGTGAGTGATCACATATGTGCTGACCTTCAACCAACTACTGCATGTAATACAGGAAGAAAATTGGTCAACAGAGGGGGGGGACTATGAAGGAAAACACTATTGTCTCGAATATATTCACCCTGAAGTCTATACCTTGTTTCTTGGTGTGTATATATGTTCTGCGAGTATACTTTAGTTCAGGACTGAAGTATATACTTGCTGGTTCGTCGGTAAGCTATTGTGATGGCGTTAATGACCTTTTAAAGATTGACTGGGCTTTAACCTGTGACATCAGGAATTATGGTACAATAACAGTCCTATAAGTCATCAATTATTTTTTCAATCGAAAGTGACAATCAAAGCAAAAATAAAAATTATTTTTCATAACAGTTTTGTAGCTTTTAAAGCGTCGTAAATAAGTCAAAAGTTGAGGAGAAATTGTAATTGCTCTAAAACTTTGTAATAACATAGAAACTTTAAAAATTAAGTTGTGTTTACGTCAATTCTGGAGAGGAATAAGTCAACTAATTTTTTTTCCATTTCAAAACGAATTAAATTATACAATCTGCGATGTTCTCGGTTTAGCGAGCTGAACAAGGAAATGAACTACACGATAAAGTTTGTGAACCAAAATACAGGACACAGCGAACATCAGGTATATAAAGAACAGCTAGGTGCACCAAGACCAAAAACAAGTAATTTACCAATTACATATAAACGCAAAGGATTACAAATTAAATCAATTGCCATTTAGAGAGTAAATCCACAAGAAATTAGCCAAGGCGTCGGCATCACACAATTCTATGTCTTCCCCATACACTTAAACCAGCTAACATCAGCAGGACTGACAACACCAGTTGATTCCCGGGAGACATCTCCAGGACCCACCTGATGGGGTCAGGACCCCCCTGATGGGGCCAGGACCCCCCTGATGGGGCCAGGACCCACCTGATGGGGGCCAGGACCCACCTGATGGGGGCCAGGACCCACCTGATGGGGGCCAGGACCCACCTGATGGGGGCCAGGACCCCCCTGATGGGGCCAGGACCCACCTGATGGGGCCAGGACCCACCTGATGGGGCCAGGACCCACCTGATGGGGGCCAGGACCCCCCTGATGGGGCCAGGACCCACCTGATGGGGCCAGGGCCCACCTGATGGGGCCAGGACCCACCTGATGGGGCCAGGGCCCACCTGATGGGGCCAGGACCCACCTGATGGGGGCCAGGACCCCCCTGATGGGGCCAGGACCCACCTGATGGGGCCAGGACCCACCTGATGGGGCCAGGACCCACCTGATGGGGCCAGGACCCACCTGATGGGGCCAGGACCCACCTGATGGGGCCAGGACCCCCCCTGATGGGGCCAGGACCCACCTGATGGGGTCAGGACCCACCTGATGGGGGCCAGGACCCACCCTGATGGGGCCAGGACCCACCAGATGGGGGCCAGGACCCCCCTGATGGGGCCAGGACCCCCCTGATGGGGGCCAAGACCCACCTGATGGGGTCAGGGCTCACCTGATGGAGAGTACCGGCGTCTCAGCGCGGCAGGAGGTACAGGCACTCGGCCTACACCTGGAGAGAGAGGAGATGCCTCCAGGGCACCCTAGCTGCACCACGGGCGGAGAGGTGGTGGTGCTGCTGCTCTCGGTCCCGCCTGCCACCACCCCACTGCCAGACTCGTACCTGTAAGGAGGACAATAGTGACAATAACGGTCAATAACCCTCCAATAACAGACCTTAATAACTCTCCAGAGATTGATAGACCTTAATAACCCTCCAGAGGTTGGTATATAGGACTTAATAACCCTCCAGAGATTGATAGACCTTAATAACCCTCCAGAGATTGATAGACCTTAATAACCCTCCAGAGATTGATAGACCTTAATAACCCTCCAGAGATTGATAGACCTTAATAATCCTCCAGAGATTGATAGACCTTAATAACCCTCCAGAGATTGATAGACCTTAATAACCCTCCAGAGATTGATAGACCTTAATAACCCTCCAGAGATTGATAGACATTAATAACCCTCCAGAGATTGATAGACCTTAATAACCCTCCAGAGATTGATAGACCTTAATAACCCTCCAGAGATTGATAGGCCTTAATAACCCTCCAGAGATTGATAGACCTTAATAACCCTCCAGAGATTGATAGACCTTAATAACCCTCCAGAGATTGATAGACCTTAATAACCCTCCAGAGATTGATAGACCTTAATAACCCTCCAGAGGTTGGTATATAGGCCTTAATAACCATTTAGATGTTGATATATAGGTCTTATATAGGCCTCCAGAACTCAACAAAGGCCTCATATAGGCCCATGCAGCTCCTCTTGGCCTAAACATCGAACCAGTGAACTCGGAACAAGCAGGGAGCCCCAGCAAGCAAGGACGCGAGGACCCCGTATAACATGACGCTCTCAAGGTCGGGTTGATGGCGGACTGCGCCAAAAATTTCTGCGAGTCAAGTTGAAGGTCTGTGGGTGATGGTGGTTGGTGGGGTGGTAGGCGTTCGTGTGATGGTGGTAGGGGGGGGGGGTTGGGGGGTGGTTGTGGCAGGGGATATTGGTGATTGTAAGGGAGATAGGGTGGGGTTGTTTCCTCTTTGTGTGAAGGTGTTTGTAAAGACGTGTTGAAGGTGGATGGCCTTGGAGGTTATTGTGGTGGTGATTGTGGTTGTGGTTGTGGTGGTGGTGGTGGTGGTGGGGATTGTGGTAGTTGGACCTGGCTTCAGGAGGAGGCGGTGAATTATACATTGACAAAATTGTAGTTATTCAAATTAGCCTCTCTCTCTCTCTCTCTCTCTCTCTCTCTCTCTCTCTCTCTCTCTCTCTCTCTCTCTCTCTCTCTCTCTCTCTCTCTCTCTCTCTCTCTCTCTCTCTCTCTCTCTCTCTCTCTCTCTCTCTCTCAATAGGCTACAAAACAGGAAGATAAGAACGAAGATAAACAAGAAAGAAAAGAGGAGAAGCAGATAGTAAATTATTAAAAAAAAGAGATTTACGAAATACCTTTTTAAAAGGGGATATAAATGGAATGAGAAAATGAGTTGTAAATTACCTAACAAATGGCTAGTTCAGGGCCATTAGGATGCATGGAGGGGGGGGGGGGGGGGGGTAGGTAAGAGACTAAGGAAAGAGAAGGGTAGGGGGGGGGGGAATGAGCAAACAGTAGGACCTCACCTCAAAAGTGACCCAGGTTCGAGTCTCCTAAGGGTGTATGTGTCTGCCTGTATGTTCACTGCTAGGGGAGAGTATATAAACTCCTGGTCCATTTTTTAAAGTTTACTTGTAAAGTTTGTGTTGCGGGGGGGGGGGGAGGTTGGTGGAGAGTTCCACGATGTGGCTGCATACTTCAGGGTTGGTCTCACGTAGGTAGTGAAAATTAAGAGCCTTCAACGTAGTTCGAAAGTTATATAGGTAGTTTGATGCTTAACAGGGACCGTCTCCTATTGGTCCATACCCACATAATACACACCCAACATAGCCCAGCTGACCACATACCCACATAATACCCACCCAACATAGCCCAGCTGACCACATACCCACACAATACTAACCCAACATAGCCCAGCTGACCACATACCCACACAATACTAACCCAACATAGCCCAGCTGACCACATACCCACACAATACTCACCCAACATAGCCCAGCTGACCACATACCCACATAATACCCACCCAACATAGCCCAGCTGACCACATACCCACATAATACCCACCCAACATAGCCCAGCTGACCACATACCCACATAATACCCACCCAACATAGCCCAGCTGACCACATACCCACATAATACCCACCCAACATAGCCCAGCTGACCACATACCCACATAATACCCACCCAACATAGCCCAGCTGACCACATACCCACATAATACCCACCCAACATAGCCCAGCTGACCACATACCCACATAATACCCACCCAACATAGCCCAGCTGACTACATACCCACATAATACCCACCCAACATAGCCCAGCTGACCACATACCCACATAATACCCACCCAACATAGCCCAGCTGACCACATACCCACACAATACTCACCCAACATAGCCCAGCTGACCACATACCCACATAATACCCACCCAACATAGCCCAGCTGACCACATACCCACACAATACTCACCCAACATAGCCCAGCTGACCACATACCCACACAATACTCACCCTACATAGCCCAGCTGACCACATACCCACACAATACTCACCCAACATAGCCCAGCTGACCACATACTCACCCTACATAGCCCAGCTGACCACATACCACACGCCCTAGCTCATGGGTCCAGCCTCGAGCATCAACATAGGCCCACTTGTCCTGGTATCGAACCTGGAGATAACCGGCCCAGGGTCCACCTCCACCGCTCAACCGGACACTCTGACCGGAGTCCGGAGCACCCACGGTCTCGCCTGTGGGACGAGAGCAACAACAGCTCCGTTGATCAGAGGTTCGCGAGAACATGCAAAAGGAAGAAAATGGATTTGGAAATCTAATTTAAACTAACTTGTCATAATTTGATAAACTTTTCCTAGGTTTAAAAAAATTAACTTTATAAAACTTAACCTGATTTTAAAAGAATTTAATCTAGCTTAAAACTTTGAAAAAAAACTTAACTTAACTTATAAACTAAATGAATATTTAAAAATCAAATTTATTAGACAAACAAACAAACATTTCACACAACAAAATAGCACAAATAAAAACCTAAAACTTCGCTAAAACAAACAAACACAAAAAATATTTGTAAATCCTCAGAACAAAAATATTCAAACTTTGGCAACAAGAAAAGTTTTGAACAAAAAAATTTGAAATTCAAAGAACAAAAAAAAAATTCTGAAATAAAGTAAATTTATCATTTTAAAACATTTACAAAAAAATCAGCTTAGCAAACAAGAACATAAAAACAAATACAACAAAAACATAAGATTAAATATTTCGTAAATGTCACATTAAAACAAGAAACAAGTGAAGTAAGCAACTCTGTTCTCTAAACATGTATAATAAACAAAGAAACTTTCAAACTTCTTGAAACAAAGACACAAAATCTCACAGATTCTCCCGACAGCAACTTACAAAGACAAACAAATACTGGAAAAATAAGCAAAAACAGCGAGGATTTACCGGGCTCGGACGAGGACCACAAAAAAAGACGAATGTTTATGTTTTTTCAAGGACAGAGCGTTGCCCCCCCCGAGGGCGTTGTCCGTGTACATGACCGTGCAAGGACACACACACACACACACACACACACACACACACGCACGCACGCACACACACACACACACACACACACACATACACACACACACACGCACGCACACACACACACACACACACACACACACACACACACACACTCACACACACACTTTACTTTCTATGATAAAGTAACAAGGATAAGGCAGGACAGAGAAGGCTGGGCAGACTGCATATTTCTTGACTGCCAAAAGGCCTTTGATACGGTACCGCACATGAGACTGCTATACAAACTTGAGAGGCAGGCAGGAGTAAGCGGAAAGGCCCTAGTATGGGTGAAGAACTACCTAACAGGAAGGAGCCAGAGGGTAATGGTAAGGGGCGAAAAGTCGGACTGGCGAACAGTAACAAGTGGAGTACCTCAAGGATCGGTGCTGGGACCAATCCTCTTTCTAATTTATGTAAATGATATGTTTACAGGAGTGGAATCATATATGTCAATGTTTGCAGATGACGCAAAATTAATGAGAAAAGTTGTGACAGATGAGGATTGTAGGATCCTCCAAGAGGACTTAAACAGGTTGCAGAGATGGTCAGGGAAATGGCTACTGGAGTTTAACACCAGTAAATGTAAAGTTATGGAAATGGGATCAGGTGATAGGAGACCAAAGGGACAGTATACAATGAAGGGGAACAGCCTACCTGTGACGACGCGTGAAAGAGACCTGGAGGTGGACGTAACACCTAATCTAACTCCTGAGGCACATATAAATAGGATAACGACAGCAGCGTACTCTACACTGGCAAAAGTTAGAACATCATTCAGAAACCTAAGTGAGGAGGCTTTTAGGGCGCTTTACACCGCCTACGTGAGACCCGTCTTAGAGTCTCCGTGGTGTAGTGGTAAGACACTCGCCTGGCGTTCCGCGAGCGCTATGTCATGGGTTCGTATCCTGGCCGGGGAGGATTTACTGGGCGCAATTCCTTAACTGTAGCCTCTGTTTAACGCAACAGTAAAATGTGTATTTGGATGAAAAAACGATTCTTCGCGGCAGGGGATCGTATTCCAGGGACCATAGGATTAAGGACTTGCCCGAAACGCTACGCGTACTAGTGGCTGTACAAGAATGTATGTATGTAGTATGCCGCGCCATCATGGAGTCCCCATCTGAAGAAACACATAAGGAAACTGGAAAACGTTCAGAAGTTAGCAGCGAGGCTTGTCCCAGAGTTACGAGGGATGGGGTATATTTTAGTATTATAGTATTTTATCAAGTCACCTCATTCTTTGGGCCACACGTGAACAACACAAATGCGAACAAGCCTGAATGGTCCCCAGGCATAGATGCAACCGAAAACTCACACCCCAGAAGTGTGAGTTTTTTGTGTTGTTCATGAGGCGAAGGAGCTGGGATATGAGGACAAGGAGCTGGGATATGGGGACAAGGAGCTGGGATATGAGGACAAGGAGCTGGGATATGGGGACAAGGAGCTGGGATATGAGGACAAGGAGCTGGGATATGAGGACAAGCAGCTGGGATATGAGGACAAGGAGCTGGGATATGAGGACAAGGAGCTGGGATACAAGGACAAGGAGCTGGGATATGTGGACAAGGAGCTGGGATATGAGGACAAGGAGCTGGGATATGAGGACAAGCAGCTGGGATATGAGGACATGGAGCTGGGATATGAGGCCAAGCAGCTGGGATATGAGGACAAGGAGCTGGGATATGAGGACAAGCAGCTGGGATATGAGGACAAGGAGCTGGGATATGAGGACAAGCAGCTGGGATATGAGGACATGGAGCTGGGATATGAGACCAGGAGCTGGGATATGAGGACAAGCAGCTGGGATATGAGGACATGAGCTGGGATATGAGGCCAAGCAGCTGGGATATGAGGACAAGGAGCTGGGATATGAGGACAAGCAGCTGGGATATGAGGACAAGGAGCTGGGATATGAGGACAAGGAGCTGGGATATGAGGACAAGGAGCTGGGATATGAGGACAAGCAGCTGGGATATGAGGACAAGGAGCTGGGATATGAGGACATGGAGCTGGGATATGAGGCCAAGCAACTGGGATATGAGGACAGACCGAGGGCTGAGCTACGAGAACGACGTATCTCATAGGCCGTTCAGAGACACCTCAGAGCCACGAGTCAACGTAAAAAAAAAAACGCTTTACCGAACCACATGGGCCATCAGGGGATCGAACTTGCCTCCCCATATGGATGTAGACTTCACATCCACCAAACCACATCCGGAACATCACCCGGTGGGCCTCGGGGTAACCGCAGCCTCACCCAGGGTCAAAGTTGAGCCCTTGACCTTCCTGTTGGGGTAGGGAAGGAGGGAGAGAGGGAGGGGGAACAATTATATTCACCTCACTTATGGGTAGTCACGTTTATGGGGGTGTGGGGGAGAGAATGGGGGAAGGGGGGGAAAATAGGGAAGGGGTCGTGGGGCTGAGTGGGGGGGTGGAAGTGGGAGGGGGAGATATAATAATAATTATGTTTATTAAGGTAAAAGTATGTTTACAAACATAATGTTGGCTCTGTTTATAGAGTTATTGTGTATAGTATGCCTAGAGGCCTTAATACGCACAGCGCTTGTGGCAGAAATAGGGAGGAGCAGGAGGGAGATAGGGAGATAGGGAGGAGCAGGAGGGAGATAGGGAGGAGCAGGAGGGAGATAGGGAGGAGCAAGAGGTAGGGCAAGAAAGAAGGGAATGAGAGAAAAATATAAAAAGCAGCCAAGAGAGAGAAGACGGGACTGAGGACTCACCGGTGTGCTGACAGTGATTTGTGGGAGGAACCCTTCCCTGTCCTTGAGTATGGAGGGACGGGGAGAGGGAGGGACGGGAAGGACAGGGAGAGGGACGAGAAGGATAGGGAGAGAGAGGGAGGCAAGATAAGTTCATGAACAAAAACTGAAGTATGTTAACATTTTAGGTCAGTCTTCCCTTAAAAGTTTCGAGTCTCTCAGAGATTTTATTTTTATTTTTGCTATAGACTATCATGTAATACTTTTTAAGGTGGTGTAAGTTTAGCCAGACCTCGTGAGAGAGAGAGAGAGAGAGAGAGAGAGAGAGAGAGAGAGAGAGAGAGAGAGAGAGAGAGAGAGACAGACAGACAGACAGACAGACACACACAGAGAGAGAGAGAGAGAGAGAGAGAGAGAGAGACAGACAGAGAGAGAGAGAGAGAGAGAGAGAGAGAGAGAGAGACAGACAGAGAGAGAGAGAGAGAGAGAGAGAGAGAGAGAGAGAGAGAGAGAGAGAGAGAGAGAGAGAGAGAGAGAGAGAGAGAGAGAGAGAGAGAGAGAGAGAGAGAGAGAGAGAGAGAGAGAGAGAGAGACAGACAGACAGACAGACAGAGAGAGAGAGAGACAGACAGACAGACAGAGAGAGAGAGAGATAATTACCTACTACGACAACCCTATTAACTCTACGGACTTTGATTACAAGCCTTAACCCAAACACCAAACACCGAACCCACCCATCCCCCCTAACCCCCACAACCACTTTGTTGAGTACCTGACTACATCACGTGACGAGGACGTCACATCCTCACAGATTAGTCAAGGCTGCATGACCGAGGGTGAACGTCCACGGGAGAATCACATGATTGTCAAATTTCCGGATGTGTAAATATCCCCCCACCGCTACTCTAACACCAGCTTTAGTCAACCATACGATCCGTAGGGTAAATAGGCAAAATTAACATAGAATGAAATAATGGATCTATTTGTTTATGGAAATTCGGGAAAATTTAACATAGTTACCCCTTTACTGGCTTGAAAATTCCTCATTTTCTATGACATTATGAATAATAGCGTCCTTTATGGGATATTTATTCTGATAGGATCCGTACTTACGCAGCATTGAAATCACCAAACTCAATTATTTCCATTGTCGACTAACGAATGATCTTGTGTACTTTGAGGTGCTTCCGGGGCTTAGTGTCCCCGCGGCCCGGTCGTCGACCAGGCCTCCTGGTTGCTGGACTGATCAACCAGGCTGTTGGACGCGGTTAGTCAACTCACAACAGTTGACTAACTCATGGACCCCCAATTAGCGAGTAGAGTAGATATGATATGATCTCTGGGTCCAAGAGCTAAAGCTTAACCATTTACTTAAATAAAGTACACACACACACACCCGTGGGGCCTCGCGGCTGAGTGGACAGCGCTTTTGGGTCATAGTCCTATGG